CTCCGCTGCTCCCACTTCCACTTCCACTACTGCCGCTACCACTACCGCCACCAGCGTGTCCGCCGCCACTACTTCCGCCACCTCCGCCGCTACCCCCACTGAGCCCGCTGCCGCCTCCTTCGCTCTCGTGATGACGATGGTGCTGCTGCTGCTGCTGCTGCTGATGATGATGATGGTGATGATGATGATGATGATGGTGATGTCTAGCCCCACTACCTCCCCCGCTGGATGCACCTCCTCTCGATGTGTGGTTCCCATTCGAGCCACCCCCACTGCTTCCACGGCCATGCGTAGAGAGCGCCGCCGGAGAATCGACCGAGTCCAGTAATTGCTCGCTATGCGATCGATGATCGGTTATGTCCCCTATACCTTCCATTTACGCACATCTAGTTCGGGTGGCGCTCTCGCTGCTGAATCTACGATACACGTGTCTCAACGATACACCGGCACTGGCGTCACCGTCCTCGTAGACGTCACGGACGTCGCCGACGTCACCGCCGCCACCGTCACTCGCGCCAACGGCAGCGTCACCGCCACCGCCGCGACCGCCGCTACCGACACTACCGCCGCAGCCACCACCACCGGCTCTATGATTCTATGGGACACCACTGCCACCGCCACCTGCCGCTCCTCTTCTCCTTCGACGCCTCCTCTCTTTGCCACCTCCTCCTCCTCCTCCTCCTCCTCCTCCTCCTCTCCCTCTCTGTATCTCCTGGCTCTCTCGGACTCTTCCCTCGTCGCGCTTTGCGCACTGCGCTTCTTCGCGACGTGCGTCGTCGTCGCGACGATCGGCGCTCTGCTACACACCGTAATTAGTATCTCCCTCTGAGCCTCCTCCCTCCGAAGGCAGATACTCTCCCTCTATACCTCTCTCCCTTACTCCCGCGCAGCCACGTTGCTGCCCTCGTTGTTCTTCTCGTTCCCGCTCCTCTTCCTCTTGGCCACCTTCTTCCTGCTGTTGCTCTTTCCGTTCCTGGACCCGCCGTCGTCGTCGTCACTGACCCTGAGCACCCTGAGCAACAGCGTCTGCGACGTCTGCGGTTCCCGTGCTGGTTCTCGCATCTGCACCACCGAGAACACTCGCGTCGTCCCCGTAGCGACTCCTCTTGGACAGCACTCCCTCTCGTCTTCGGATCGGCATAGAGATCCGCTTGCAGAACGGCGTCCGCCGAGCGCCCATGACATACGCGGACCAAGTGAGAGCCACACTCTTCTTTCGGCGCGAGTGTCTCTCTATAGGGGCCACCTAGTAGACACCTAGCCAGTCACCTCCAGCCAGCCAGCCAGCCAGCCAGCCAGCCAGCCGAGCTACCCCTCGGCTCCGCCTTCCAGTC